CCGGGGAATCCCTATTAGTAACAAGAAATGCTAGTGCTATGATATTTTACAGTTTTACAGCTTTCTCTTTTAAAAAAAATTTTTTTTAATGTTTACTTTTATTTGAGAGAGAGACCAAAACAGAGCATGAGCAAGAAAGGGGCAGAGAGGGAGACACAGAATCACAAGTAGGCTCCAGGCTCTAAGCGGTCAGCACAGAGCCTGACGCGGGACTTGAACCCACAAAGTACGAAAACATGACCTGAGCCAAAGTCAGCTCTTAACCAACTGAGCCACCCAGGTGCCCCTACAACTTTCTCTTTTCACCCCAGTCACTGATGTTTGCGAGACTCTCCGGCCCTTGAGGCAGGGTCTGTGCTTTTGGCTTCTTTGAGAGCTTTCCTCATAAGGCCTACCAAAGAAATCCTTTTCAGAGCCGGCTAGCATTCACCGAGCAATTGCATAACCATCATCCCCCTTTAGCTTTAAAACAATCTCCCATTTTTTTTCACATAAATAGCCTGCCTCTCAGGTGTTCAATGCCCTGTTCAAGGCCACCCAGCATATAGGTGAAGACCTGGATGCGGGTTGCCTGTGTGCTCCTTTACCTCCTGTGCTCCTGGCCCATCTCCCTGCAGTGGGAAGAATGCTGGAGACAACACCCACCCTGTTTCCGGTCGCTGGGTGAGCGAGACCCTGAGACCTTCTTGTGCGGCAGCAGCCGGCTGGCCTGCAAGGTGTGGCTCCAGCCCACAGTCACAGTGATCTTGCAGGCCCTGACTCCTTCCAACTGTGGGAGGAGCCGCCCAGGGCCAGGCAGGCGACAGCAGCAGAGGGAAACCACAATGGAATTACAAGTTGGTTATTACCACAAATCCACGTGACACATTGTCCCGGCTGGGCGGCAGAGTGTGGCTGGGGCACTACAGAAGGAGGTATGAAGGAGTGGGGAGAGGGGAACGGAAGATCAAGTCCCCGATTCCAACAAAACCAAAGCAGCTGGGGCTGAGGGCTCCTGGGGTGGGAAGTAATCAGCACCCATAAGTCAAGAAATACAGAGATAACATCTAAGTCTTGTCCCTATCGAATCAGTGGGTTTCCAAACCTGCCCAGACAGAACTTGTATTTTTAACAATCCAGTGGTTCCTGACCTTGTCTGTACTTCAAAATCACCTGTGCAGCCGGCCCCTGGAGGTTCCTACAAAGGTTTGGAGGAGGGCCTGGGATCTGTATTTTTTTTTTT